CACTAGAAGTTCGCTGGAGTGTTTTGAGCATTGCCGAAAGTTCACTGGAGTGTTCTAAACGTCACTGGAAAATGTCAAGAACATCATCGGAGACTCATCGTAATATTCAGAATATTGCCAAAAAAAAAGAAAGAAAGAATAAATTGAGAAATTATAGTTAAAAAACATAACAACAACAACAAACAACTAAGCAAATAATCTGTAATATTTATCAAATTGAAAAGTAAGCTTTAAAACTGTAAAATGTTACAATTTCAAAACATTATTCTATTAAGCTAGAAAACATGTTATGAAACTGTAAAATTTTACAGTTGTAAAGAATGTTATGAAACTGCAAAATTTTACAGTTTTAAAGCATGATTCATTTCAGCACCAAAAAAGCTGAAACTATAAAATTTTACAATTTTTTCAGCCTGTAACTAAAACTTAAAAACAACTTATTTAGAACTTGAAATTTTCTCCATTAAAATAGAAAAATAGACGTGTGTAATAGAGAAAGGTAAAAAATTTGAGAAATCGAAGGAAATAATAGATATAGAAAGAATATTGTACTCCGGCAACTATTTTTAGTTTAGATCTAGTCGGATCTTATGTAGATCTACTCATCTTCTTCGCCATCGGTGATGATGAAGTAATGAGTTGATGTCGGTGGTTGGTGGTTGCCGGTGAACTCCAATCAATGGTGGTTGTCGGTCACCGGTGACTATATATTAGAAAGAGAAAAAGAATAAGGAAGGTGTGATCACCGGTCATCGGACATGACAAAGAGAAGGAGAGGAAAACGCAAAAGAGAGAGAGAGAGAGAGAGAGAGAGAGAGAGAGAGAGAGACAGAGACAGAGGAAAACGTGTAGGACTTTTGTGTCTACTCAAAAAGTTATTGGATTAAATAGTGTACACATATTTCAAACAGGACCTACGGGTAATTTTCTCTTATTAGATAGCAAATCAAACACCAAAACCATTACCTATTAAAGGGCCCATAAACCACACAGAAGTGCTGCCTCCCAAGAACAACACCCAACCCCAGAACAAGCAAACCTAGCTAAGGCATTTGCACTTCATTTGCCTCCACCGCACAAAGCACACCTAACACTCCCCCAGCAAAACCAAATCTCAAACCACCATCACAATTTCTTAGTGCACCTAAATTTTACCATTAACCATATTGACCACCATCTATGAGTCACCTTCCACAACAACTATTGAGAAGCCAAACTCGCAGGCCAATCGCATAGCATCCTGAGCAGCCATAGCTTCTGCCAATAATGTCGAACCCACATGTATAGGTAACTGATCTTCCAAGAATACAATCACCATTAGCATTTCTAGCCACCACACCTACCCCACCAATGCTATCATTTTTTTGAAAGGCCCCATCAAAATTGATCTTAATAAACCTTGCCAGTGGCTGAACCCATCTCCATAGCCTCTCCACCACTGCAACCTAAGGCCTACTAGTAGCAGACCGCACATTGACCATGGAAAATGATGACGCCCAATCCACTACCCAGCTCCACACCGTCTCTGGTGTAGTTTTTATCCTATTAAAAAAAATCAAAGAATGATGTTATTAGCATCTATCTAAATTCTTTGGACAACCCCCCATTTCTTTAGACCCTTATTTATAAATTCTAAAACCCTTAAAATTTCTTTTCTTCCTCTAGATAATACCAAAATCATCCTTGTGAAAACATTCCATCAATTCAATTGAATGCACATCCCCACACCCCAAAAAGCCTCTTTCCCCAAAATCCTTACAAAACCCACGAAAGTGATTACTACTTCATCTCCACATACTTGTTCATGACTTGAGAAAGTAAGTATAGGTTTTTTTGTTGTTGATTCAAAATTTCGCTTTTATGGGTTCGGCGATCTCCACGAGTTTCAGTTATCTGTTCCCAAACAAATAAGAAATGTTTGGGCTTGTGTCCTCAAATTTCGATCATATATTCGGGAGTTCAATCCCGAAAAAATGACGAACAATTTTTATTATTTTTGTCATTTTTTTTCCAAGAAACTTACCTTTACAAGGCCAATCTCCTCAAAGCTAAGAACACCATCAAAACTATGAATCTCCTCTGAGTTTTAATTGTTGTACTCCTCTCTTCTCATGGAGTTGTGATTGCCGGAAAAACTTCTACTCATTGTCGGAAAAGTATAGGTAATCAAATGGTTGCCATAGTTATCGCCAGAATATTGCCGCCAAAGAGTTTTCAAGGTATTGAGGGTAGGTAGTTTTTGAAGGTGGAATTTAGGGAAGATGGATGGGTGGTGATGAAGGTGGGTGCTCTCATAAACCCTAACTTATGATGTCGTAGGTGTGTCATCTTAATTGTGAGATGAGGTGTCCCAAAATTATTGATGTCCTTTTTAGTAATTTCATTTGAGGTTATTATTGTAGAAAAACAAAAGTAATAAATGGGAGGTCCAAAATAATTGATGGGATGCTAATAGCAGCACTCTTTCTAATTTTTCTTTTATTACAATTATATCTTAGAGTAAAATTACATTAAAAGATATCATTTAATGGAACATCCACCTACCAAATAAGAACTAAACACTCTATAATATTGTACACCCACCCCCACCTACAGCTGTACGTTTCCACCTTTCTAAACACTAAACATGTTACTCTTCATAACCAACCAACACAAACCTTAAACCTATTGCTCTTCATAACCATCTTAAACCCTAAATGTATCATCTTCATCACCATCACAAACCTTCCTAAACCATAAACCTCGAACCAAGAAGCTCTTTTCAAGTCCAACATATTACTCTTCATCAGCTATTTCACCTTGTAGAGCAATAGAGCACGATGATAACAATTCTGATGAGGCTGGCATTCTAATGGTAAAATTATCTGTCATGCATTAACATTCTCATTCGTTTTCAATTGTTGTTGTTTTATTTGAGCTGTTTGGTATTGGTTTGCCGATTGTTAATAAAATGTTCGGTAACACAGTACTGAACACAAACATTTAGTTCAATATATGGGTTTCGAACAATAATGCAGATAGTTGGTATTGGTGTGCCAAACGGTTCGATTTTTGTATCTTCAATATCGGATTGTGTTTTTGGTGAGGGTTTTTCCCTCAAAACCCCCTTTTTATGCAGAAATAAACCAAAAAACAAAAATGTGATAGAAAGAAGAGAAGTAATGATGTTGCCAAGATGCGGAGTTGACGAGTTTTTCGACGGTACTCTTTGGACACCGTTTAGTTGATTTCTTCTTTCGTTGAGAGTCGACAAGAATTTCAATGATGGAATGTCGATGCAATGTTTTTCATTAAGGCAATGGTGTTTACTAATGCAATGACTGTCAACATTCTTTTTAATAGGAGATGAACAGTCATTAAAAGGAAAAGGAGAGAGGGTGTGAAAAATTAGGTGGGCGTGCCTTGGGTGTGATAATATCATGAATAGGGGTAAATTTGGTATAAGTGGGGTGTTTAAAGAAATCTTACTGAAATTTACGGTTTAGGGTGGGGGCTCAAAGAAATAGAAGGTCCAAAGAATTTAGGTAGGTGTTAATAATAACCCTCTCAAAATATTTATGTGTATATGACTGTTTTACCCTTATTAAAAGGTGAAAGGAATTGAGAAGTGTCAATTCATTGAGTGCTAATAAAAATTTATTAAGTGTTACAAGTACACCACATGATAATGTTATCTACCAATCACCAAGTATTATGCCTCATCAATGCAAAATTGTGGGCCTACTCTCTCCACCAATCACAAATCTTTTAGTAATTACCTAACTATGCCTCAAAAGAACTAGATATTTTCTCTTATTCTAGTGGTATTGTTAATTTCGTTATTTGAAAACTTAAAAATTTCATAACTTTTATTATACACATTTATTTTTAATAAAATTTATATTTTTGGAATGTACACAATGAGATCTATCAAATAATACCAATATTGAATATAAAATTTAATTTCTTTTATAATTTTTTTAGCTATATAAAATTAATAATTTCTCAATTTGCGAAACTATCTAGTAAAATTGAGAAATTTATTAGTTTTTTTTTTCAGTTTTAAAAATAATAATATTCTCAATTTTAACATTGAAAAAAAATTGAGAAATTTCTCAAAAACTGATCTACTTGTTTGGTTTCCGTTTTTCGAACCTACTTTTTTGGAAATTTTAGAATTACTGTTTGGTTGTTCAGAATCTCTATTTCGAATTATTTTTTAATTTTATTCTTCACGTGATCTCAGTAAATGTCAGGCACTACTACAGCTTATTATTCTACTCCTACTAAACTCTGCCTTACTCTCTTTTTCCTGATCTACCTTGTACGTACATACATAATACAAATATAGGACTAGTGCTGATGTGACAAATTTTATTCAGTGTGTTTGGTTTTAGTTTTTTGGAAATTATGTTTTTTATTTTTTTTGTTTTTAGTGAATATTTTTAAAATTTTAAGCAATTTTTTTTTTTACTTTTTTAGATGTACCTTACTTAGATGTATCTAAATAGTAAAATATTTGTGAAAAAATATTTTAAAAATTAATAAGTACACAAAAATATGAAAAATGTACTGAATTTTTGTTTTTTTTTTTATTTTTTTATTTTTGGCATTTAATGAATTTTTCACAAATATTATACTTTTTAAGTGTATTTATATTAGGTGTGTCTAAAAATTAAAAAAATTGCTTAAATATTAAAAAAAATCAGTGAAAACAAAAAATATGAAAAAAAAAGAGAAATTGTTTTAAAAAGTGAATTCTAAAAACTGAAAGTAAACTGGCTTCGTTTGGGAAGCCATGGTTTGGGCTTCTTTGGCCATTTTAGTCACAAAAAACAAAATAGGCTATTTTAGCCATAGCAAACAAAACATCACATCCAACCCATAATCATTACATTCTTCTCTCACAAAAAAACTCAAAAAAGCTAAAAAGTCAAAAAGTCCTTCCCAAACCAAACTTTTAAGCCCAAGTTAAAATAGTCAAAAAAGTTAAAAAGCTAAAAAAATTAAAAAGACAAAAAGTCAACCCACTCTCCAAACGGAGGCTTAGAAAACCCTCGCTCACGATTTATTAGGTAACAACTCCAACTAATAGGGTTAGCTGATAATTAAACAAAAATGGGAATTCATCTAATACACAACGACGTGATATTGCACTCATGCTCGTGCTCAAGTAAGAGGTCTGTAATAGGAATAAACTGCATAAAAAGTCTGAGCGAAAGTAATCAGCAACAAGACCACTGCAGCAACAAAGGATAAGATAGCCCAGGGATTGTTGAAGTAGTTATGCTTGAGGTTCGCACGCCAAGCATTCCACCTATGATTGTAATACCGGTTCACCTGCTCCGACAATTGCGAAAGGTAACTACCATCGATGTCGAAAACCACCTCTTCCGAGAGGCGGTTGAAGAGGTCCACTACTTCACCATTGGTGCCGAGCCAGTGCTCGATTATGCCGTGGTAATGGAGGTAAGCCACATCCGCAGGGGAGTTTATCAAATTGTCCATGAATATCACGTACGAGGTTATGTCGTTGTTGCAATCGAGATGGCACTGCTCCAACGCGATCAGGTTGAGCAACAGCGATTTGGTACCGTCATGGATCAACAGCCGAGGAATGCTCAGAGTCCCATCCTTGAATTTAATGTCCCAGAACCGATCTGTCTTCCTCTTCTTGAATTTAATCCCTGCCTCCCTCAGTTCAGTCACGCAATGGACCAATTGTTGACGGCGCTTGTCGGCGACGACCTGGTTCGTCCGCGATGACCACCGCTTGATCCACATTTTGGGTACGGCTTTTGGCCCCGCGCGCATGAGACTTCGCCGGAAAACATCGAGGCAGTGAAGGCCACCTTGGTCTGCTAATGGATCAAATGTGGTTGCATATTCGAGCGATGATAATGATGGTCGTGGTGACTGTAATGATTCATCGGTTGGCATTAGCGGGTCGAAGAACTGGATTGCTAGCTTGGCCACCAGTCCTCTCTTGTCAGGATCGCCGTTCTCGAGCCCTAACAACCGATCCAGTACGAAGAGGGGAATCTGGTTTTCGAGCATTATCATATCCCTCTGAAGCGAATGCATCGAGGCACGCATCGCGAAGATAGGATCCTTCCGGGAGTAACCTAGCTTCTTGAAGCCCTCAATAGCCCCTCGGAACAGCTCCAGTATGAAGCAGCCATCGAGCACCATCATTTCCACAAATTCATTGCTGCTGAGAGAAATCGTGCCTTCGTAACAAGCACGGGCATGCTGTTCCATCTCTTTAATGGAGTCCAGATATAGAGCAATGTCGTGCTGGGTACGCTTGAGAACACGGTAAAGGGCGCGCCACTTGTGGGGGTCCATGGTCCGGAGGTGTCTCCGGCCGTGGTGGTAAGGCCCCAAGGAGACGGTCCGGGGAATGTAAGATTTGTCGTCCCTTTCTCGCAGGCACTGAGGGACTCTGTAGATGCACATCTTTGCCCAGGGGTTTTTGTTTTTTTTTTTTTTTTTTTTTTTTTTTTTTTTTTTTTTTTTTTTTTGGTGTAAAATGGTGACCGGGGGGAGCCCCGACATGAATAAAATGAGTTTGGTGTGCAGTTCTGCCTCTTTGTTTTTTTTTTTTTTTTTTTTTTTTTTTTTTTTTTTTTTTTTTTTTAAATAAAAAAAAAAAAAAAAAAAAAAAAAGAGAGAGAGAGAGAGAGAGAGAGAGAGAGAGAGAGAGAGAGAGAGAGGACAAATTTGCTTATCTGTTCAAAAAAAAAAAACTTAGATTGGGGATCTTCTAGCAAGTTCTGTTGATTCACTACACATACATACATATATATATACCTAAATATAGACTTGTTTGAGGATATTATCAGCAAAACCTTAGATCAACTCAGATCCAAGCTTTTACCTTCCATATATCTCGTCGTGATTGTCATGATCTGGACGATAGTGGTGGTTCTGGTGGTGGATCTAAGTTGATATGTTTTTTATTTTGCCTTAGCATTTTCTAAGATTTAAATTTTCAAGATCTCAGGAGAGAGAGAGAGAGAGAGAGATAAAATAAATGGATTTGAGCCATGGTTTTCACCTCTGACAGATCCGTTGGTAGCAAAGCATAAGTGCGGAGGAGGAGGTCGATGCCGAAGGAAGAAGGCGGAGACAATAGATCTGAGGGAACCAAAAGGATGAAAAGAAGAAGAGAGAAAGAGGTGGTCAGTCGACAAGACGACGATGGTGGTGGTGGTGGTTAGTCAGCGGCAATGAAGGCAACAGAAGTGAAAAGAGAGAGAGAAAGAGAGAGAGAGAGAGAGAGAGAGAGGGGATCTAGGCTTCCAAACTGTGGTTACAATATATATATATATATATACAGAGGGCTATTTGGGTCATTTCCTCTGAGTATGTCTTTATAGACCAATTATTTTAAAATGTAAACTTTTGCCCAAACAAAATTTAAATTTATAGACCAACTGCCCCTCTTTATTTAGTATTTAAAAAAAAATTTATTACTGTTAAGAGTTATTTGTACAAGACTGACATAAAAAGTAAATATATATAATTTTGAAAAACAATACCAAATATTAAAATAAAATAAAAATCTAACTACTATATGTCAGACAACTTATGTCATCTATGCTATCATATCTCATGATATTAGGATTCGTTGAGTATATTATTCATATAAAAAATAAAATTAATCAGATAAATATAACCCCACGATCAAGATGAATAGGAACCCTAAAAATTATTAAAATCATGCTAATCGTTTATTTTTTTCAACACAAACGTGGTTTTGTTGTGGATTACAGATGTTTAATTAATTTGAATTTTTTTCATAGATGATTTACTTAACGAACCCTACACTATGAATGGTTCAGATCATTAAAATAAATTCAGGACATGCCTTCATGGACGCACAACATGGTGCCATGCCTATAAGGAATAGCACCAACCTCATTCTTGTCTTTAGAAGACTAGTTAGTATCTTATAGCATATTATTGAAAGGCAGCTTGTTATCTCCAATTCACAGACTAGATTGAATGTACTGTTCATGCTTGTGTGGTTCATCACGGACCTCATGTCAATGATTTGAATAATTTATTCTTTTAGAGCATAACATGTAGATTATTCATGAAAAAAAATCAAATTGATTCGATAACCATAATCGTGTTATTTTATTACATTTATCTCTCAAAAGATAAATAATCTAGTTTTCAAATAATATTTGTCAATTATTTTTGTACAAATAAATGCTATAAGCTAATATAGCTGTAAGCATGGAAAATTTGTGTCAATTACAAATTGGCACGTACTTTTTTTGTTTGTTTGTCTCCAAAGATAGTAAAGTTTTATTAGGAGGGGCACTTACCAATAAGTCTCATACACAAAGTTCAAAATACATCTTATCCCAAAACAAAATACTTGCACCAATTAGTCTTACATATTTTTAATTGTTACGAAAAACTTTTTTTTTAATCACTTTAAAAAAGCTACTACTTCCAACGACTTCTGTCAGACTCACCGAAAACTCATTGAAATATTCAACATCACCGAGAAGTCGTCAGAGCATCACTAGAAGTTCGCTGGAGTGTTTTGAGCATTGCCGGAAGTTCACTGGAGTGTTCTGAACGTCACTGGAAAATGTCAAGAACATCATCGGAGACTCATCGTAATATTCAGAATATTGCCAAAAAAAAAGAAAGAAAGAATAAATTGAGAAATTATAGTTAAAAAACATAACAACAACAACAAACAACTAAGCAAATAATCTGTAATATTTATCAAATTGAAAAGTAAGCTTTAAAACTGTAAAATGTTACAATTTCAAAACATTATTCTATTAAGCTAGAAAACATGTTATGAAACTGTAAAATTTTACAATTGTAAAGAATGTTATGAAACTGCAAAATTTTACAGTTTTAAAGCATGATTCATTTCAGCACCAAAAAAGCTGAAACGATAAAATTTTACAATTTTTTTCGCCTGTAACTAAAACTTAAAAACAACTTATTTAGAACTTGAAAATTTTCTCCATTAAAATAGAAAAATAGACGTGTGTAATAGAGAAAGGTAAGAAATTTGAGAAATCGAAGGAAATAATAGATATAGAAAGAATATTGTACTCCGGCAACTATTTTTAGTTTAGATCTAGTCGGATCTTATGTAGATCTACTCATCTTCTTCGCCATCGGTGATGATGAAGTAATAAGTTGATGTCGGTGGTTGGTGGTTGCCGGTGAAGTCCAATCAATGGTGGTTGTCGGTCACCGGTGACTATATATTAGAAAGAGAAAGAGAATAAGGAAGGTGTGATCACCGGTCATCGGACATGACAAAGAGAAGGAGAGGAAAACGCAGAAAAGAGAGAGAGAGAGAGAGAGAGAGACAGAGACAGAGAGAGACAGAGACAGAGGAAAACGTGTAGGACTTTTGTGTCTACTCAAAAAGTTATTGGATTAAATAGTGTACACATATTTCAAACAGGACCTACGGGTAATTTTCCCTTATTAGATAGCAAATCAAACACCAAAACCATTACCTATTAAAGGGCCCATAAACCACACAGAGGTGCTGCCTCCCAAGAACAACACCCAACCCCAGAACAAGCAAACCTAGCTAAGGCATTTGCACTTCATTTGCCTCCACCGCACAAAGCACACCTAACACTCCCCCAGCAAAACCAAATCTCAAACCACCATCACAATTTCTTAGTGCACCTTAATTTTACCATTAACCATATTGACCACCATCTATGAGTCACCTTCCACAACAACTATTGAGAAGCCAAACTCGCAGGCCAATCGCATAGCATCCTGAGCAGCCATAGCTTCTGCCAATAATGTCGAACCCACGTGTATAGGTAACTGATCTTCCAAGAATACAATCACCATTAGCATTTCTAGCCACCACACCCACCCCACCAATGCTATCATTTTTTTGAAAGGCCCCATCAAAATTGATCTTAATAAACCTTGCCAGTGGCCGAACCCATCTCCATAGCCTCTCCACCACTACAACCTAAGGCCTACTAGTAGCAAACCGCACATTGACCATGGAAAATGATGACGCCCAATCCACTACCCAGCTCCACACCGTCTCTGGTGTAGTTTTTATCCTATTAAAAAAAATCAAAGAATGATGTTATTAGCATCTATCTAAATTCTTTGGACAACCCCTCATTTCTTTAGACCCTTATTTATAAATTCTAAAACCCTTAAAATTTCTTTTCTTCCTCTAGATAATACCAAAATCATCCTTGTGAAAACATTCCATCAATTCAATTGAATGCACATCCCCACACCCCAAAAAGCCTCTTTCCCCAAAATCCTTACAAAACCCACGAAAGTGATTACTACTTCATCTCCACATACTTGTTCATGACTTGAGAAAGTAAGTATAGGTTTTTTGTTGTTGATTCAAAATTTCGCTTTTATGGGTTCGGCGATCTCCACGAGTTTCAGTTATCTGTTCCCAAACAAATAAGAAACGTTTGGGCTTGTGTCCTCAAATTTTGATCATATATTCGGGAGTTCAATCCCGAAAAAATGACAAACAATTTTTATTATTTTTGTCATTTTTTTTCCAAGAAACTTACCTTTACAAGGCCAATCTCCTCAAAGCTAAGAACACCATCAAAACTATGAATCTTCTCTGAGTTTTAATTGTTGTACTCCTCTCTTCTCATGAAGTTGTGATTGCCGGAAAAAATTCTACTCATTGTCGGAAAAGTATAGGTAATCAAATGGTTGCCATAGTTATCGCCGGAATATTGCCGCCAAAGAGTTTTCAAGGTATTGAGGGTGGGTAGTTTTTGAAGGTGGAATTTAGGGAAGATGGATGGGTGGTGATGAAGGTGGGTGCTCTCATAAACCCTAACTTATGATGTCGTAGGTGTGTCATCTTAATTGTGAGATGAGGTTTCCCAAAATTATTGATGTCCTTTTTAGTAATTTCATTTGAGGTTATTATTGTAGAAAAAAAAAGTAATAAATGGGAGGTCCAAAATAATTGATGGGATGCTAATAGCAGCACTCTTTCTAATTTTTCTTTTATTACAATTATATGTTAGAGTAAAATTACATTAAAAGATATCATTTAATGGAACATCCACCTACCAAATAAGAACTAAACACTCTATAATATTGTACACCCACCCCCACCTACAGCTGTACGTATTCCACCTTTCTAAACACTAAACATGTTACTCTTCATAACCAACCAACACAAACCTTAAACCTATTGCTCTTCATAACCATCTTAAACCCTAAATGTATCATCTTCATCACCATCACAAACCTTCCTAAACCATAAACCTCGAACCAAGAAGCTCTTTTCAAGTCCAACATATTACTCTTCATCAGCTATTTCACCTTGTAGAGCAATAGAGCACGATGATAACAATTCTGATGAGGCTGGCATTCTAATGGTAAAATTATCTGTCATGCATTAACATTCTCATTCGTTTTCAATTGTTGTTGTTTTATTTGAGTTGTT